GGGGAGCAGCGGAGCAGCGGCACCGACGCCGGAGGAGCCTGGGTGATCGCCGCCACTGGCTGAAGGAGGAGGGTCCAGGAACTGGAAATCTGCCTCAGCTGCCGCCCTGCCTCGCTTTCTGGGCGGGGGCCGCCCCAAGTCGCCCTGGGCTCCCCCTTCCTTGAGGGGCCGGGTGAGTTGTTGCCCCGGTGGGTTCGGGGGTGTGTGACGGCATGAGGGAGGGGGCAGGCCGGGCTGGGCCGATACAGGCCGGCCTGGCGCAGGGCGCTTTCTCAGCGCTTTCTCGGGTGGGGGCGGGGGGCGGGGGCAGTGTCGGGGCCCCCCACGTCGGGGACTGGAATGTCGCACCTCCCTGGGGAAGGGCCTCCCTTGAGCTAAGGGCCACCAGGGCTGCCGAGCGTCGTCCGCTGGCCTCTGCGGCTGTTGCGAGCGGACGGCTGCCGTAGTTCGCTGGTCGGCCCGCGAGGTGTTGGGTGTGTGCAGACGATTTCTCTCGCCCGGTCCCAGTGAGCTGATCTGGGTGCTTGTTCAGGGAGGGTTTGGAATAAACTGCTTCTCACCTACCTGTTGCTGGCGTCAGGACGCCTTTCCCATGGCCCTTCCCCTGACTTTAAAGAAAAAGGGTGGCTAAACCTCCTGCGCTGAAATCGGGGTCTTTTTCTCTTCTCCTTTCTCCTAAAAAAAAAACACGAGAAGACAATGCGGAACTCTGGCAACTGTCGAGTTCCCATGCCCCAAAATAATGAAATCAAACTTCACTCAATGGATAGGTGGTGGAATGGGACACCTTCAGCACTTGCTAGCCAGAACGTAGGAAAATTGGATTTTGAAACTTGGCAGATTCTCTGTAAGGAATATGGGTGACTACAACGGGAATAAGCTTAACTTCTTGTAATGCTGTTATTTAGTAACGCGATGTGTTTAAAATCTATGTAGGTATAGATGGAGTGGACTGTGGTATCTTTACAAGCAAAGAAATTTTCAGTCACTGTGCTGGAAAGTTCTACAGATTTCGCCACCCAAACTGTCAGTGTCCCAGCCCCCATTCTATTCGGGAAAAATCAGCAGTGCTGGGGTTATTTGCAGACTTTTTCCATCTTCCAGTAATTGTCCCAGAGGCATAGATTGATAGATGTAGATTGCCAAAAGCAATCAGTCTCGTTTACCACTCCTAGTAGAAAATGTTGAAGTGGGGGGGAAATCCTGATATTTAAACTGCATTTTTTTTCTATCATTATCTTTATTTATATACATTTAGTTTTTAAAGTAAATTTGTAGTAAGGTTGGAATGTTACTGTTTTGATGTGTAAAATACAATATTTGGAGGCATTTGTCTTAACATCATGGCATAATAGTTTCTACTGATTATTAAGGCAAAATTAGTATAAATAATTGGAAGAGTCATTTAAATTGTGGGAAATTTAAAGTTTTCGTTATTGGTTTTATTTCTGTTACAGATCAGAGCTTCAGTTTTCTCTTGATGTGGAGGTAGGTATTAGAAAGTTTAATTATGCCATGATTTGAGGAAGATTGCAAAGTTACACGTTTCTGCAGTTGGCTGAATTTTTCACTGTATATTCTTGATTTTTTTGGGTGGTGGAAAGATGTTTCATTTATTGCTCCTATTGAAATTATTTAAAGCAAAAAGCAAAAGAAAATGGTATTAATCAAGATACTTAGTATTTCCATTAATTTAGACTATCACAAGGTAACAAAAAGTCAGAAGTAGATAATATGTTTTTAACTGTGGAAAGAATCATGGAGAATGGCTGTAATTTCCCTAAACATTTCTCTATGATGCATTTAAAAAATACAAGTGGTTGGCTTTTGAAACTTAATAGTACCTATGTAGCATACTATAAAATAGATTTAATGTTTACTTTATAGTGATTACTGTAGGCTAACACTTGAAATGGCAGTTATACATCATGTTTCGTTTGAAGTCATTTTTTTTTTTTTTGGTCTCCCCAGACATAGGGTTACCTCCAAATTTCCAGTATCTCAGAAGGGAGTTTTTTATTGAAACTGGAAGACCTAAAGAAATACAGGCATGTTGTGCTGGGGAAATGCATCCTTTGGACAGCTAGGCTTGGGCGGAATTGATGAAGAAATTGTACTAGAGCCCAGAAAAAGTGACTTTTTTATAAATAAAAAGGTCCGAGATGTAGGATGTGGACTCAGACATACTGTATTTGTTCTGGATGATGGAACAGTGTACACTTGTGGATGTAATGATCTAGGACAACTAGGCCATGAAAAATCTAGAAAGAAACCAGGTAAGTTGAAAAAAAATTCTTTTTTTGCTATATATGATAATTATGTCATTTAAGTTTTGAAGTGTCGTAGAATTTTTCTGGTCCTAAACCTGTATTCTTTGTCAAGCTTTAAAAACAGAGTTAAATATATTTACATTTGCATGTTTCTTAGTATTTTAAGTGTAATTTTTTTTTAACTGCTACTTTTATAAATCTTTGTTGTTTGAAGTGTTAGTTTCAGAACGTAATTATGATGATGTAAAACAACGGTGAAAGCCAGCCTGCAGTGTATAGATTTTCTTTGGTGTAGAGAATATAGGTATATAGTATGTCTATCCTTTTTAATAAAAGTCCTCTTCAGCCACCTTGGGCAGATTTTAAGTGCATAATTTACTCTTGTTTTCCATACATCAGAAAGGAAACAAAAATTAAGATGAAAGCTTTTTACTTTCACTTACTTGCTTAAAGTATTGTTAATTCTTCAATTTTTTCCCCTTATCGTTGTATTTTAAATACATGATTTTATTTGGCTTTGTTGGAAATATCTTTTATTCACCTAATCGCCTACTCCCAAATAGCAACAATAGCTATTAAAGGTTTTATGAATATGAGGTGTCCTGATTTCGTAGTAGCCATAGAAGCCAAATTTAAAATGATTTGTAGGGTAATGAGAATTTGAGGAATTTAGTCACGTTTCATGTTCTGTTTTCCTGGATATACATATTTTAAAACCAGATATTACCACTCTTAGGAATATCATCTTTACGTGAATTTTGCTTTCAATTATAACTAAAAGTTAATATCTTAAGGTGGTAAATTCAGATAAGACTGTGACTGTACTGACTTATAGTTCTTTTGTTTTAACTTTAACAGTAATGGCACGTAAATATTTTCTATGGCAGTTGTTTTTATCACTTCATTATTTAAGTGGTTTCTATTGTTAGTCTACTTTTGAGACATTAATGTAGGTATAAAATAAAAAGGCATTAAATTAAGGCATGTTTCATCTTTGATACTCTCACCATCATGCCAGACTTCACTTTTCTAGCTTGTAAATACTGTATAGTTTTCAGTCTTTGTGGTTGGTATCTCAATCTCTTTTCTTCTGCCTTAATTTGTAATTTAGTTTTTATTGGATGAATGGTAGTGATGCTTAATACAGTAGATTTTATTATTGCTGAGCTCAAGGTAAATGGTGGCTTTCATATACTCTATCTCACTAAGGATATTTTATGGAATCCTATTAGATTTTCATTGTCTCACCATTGAGGTGATCATGCTGGTGGAAATGAATGATAATTTATTCATATTCATTTGAATGGTAGATCTGCTTCAGAGACAGAGACTCTTTTGCTTAGCTTGGAATGCTGCCTCAGGTTGGGATTGTCATAGCATAGGGATTGCTGCTGTTCTTTGTGCTTAACATGTCCCAGAGAAATAACTGAACGTCTCTCTGTATATTTTTAGTAATTTCTGAGAGGCAGCAGGGCAAACAGCAAGTACAAAGCCAGTGCATAGAAATTCCCAATATAGTTACTGAAATTTATTAAGGTTTAAAATTTTTAAATGTTATGAAATACCTGTTTTGTGTCTGGGACAAAAGTAGACAATGTGCATTAGTAGTTTAATTATTAGTGCCTGGAACAGCTTCTGCCTCTATAGGTGAGATTCTGAGAAACTTAATTAGCCAGAAGAGGCTTTTTTTTTCTGGTCATGTTGACATTATGATTGCATTGTGACATCTATACCATCCTATTGATTTATCCTGGAAGAATCATTTGGTAATATGAAGTTGGGAGGATAGGTTTCCCTAACTTATGATACCTCTTTAGGATTGCCTCATTACTGGCCATGGTATACCACAGTCTGTGGAATAGAAAAGAAATAGAAGGCTGAACTTTGAGAAATTTAGAGCATGGGTTGGGAGTTAAGGCATACATAAATGAGACAACTGAAGAGAATTGAAATTTGACTTGATGTGATATATGCACTTTGAGCCTAGCGAATTTAAATAATGGGAAATATCATTGTGGGCTAAAATTAAAGATCCCTGGGAGAAAATGAAGCCTTTAATTTAATCAGTGATTACATAAATAGCCAAAAAATAAGTCTGGTGCTGCAGTTGCTTAGTTTTATGGGCAGGGGGAGGGATGGATCCTGAGTGCCAGAAAAGCTTTATATTGCTGGAAGTCCAGTTTTAGTGGGGAAAACTAGACGTTCGCAGACAGGTAGTTGCTCCGATAGGAAATTCATGATTTAACCTCAGTCTTGTTTTAAGGTGCTTGAGTGGTAAATTTTAATAATGTTTTTAACCAGAATTTTCTCTGTTTGGAATAATTCCTTAATAATTTAAGTGTGCTCCTTCGCCAACCCCCCCCCCTTTTTTTTTTAAATTTGTGGGTTGTCTGATCTTATTTAATTGGGTTTAAAGTCTTTTCTGGTAATTGAACAAGTCTTTGTATTTCTAGGACCATATAATAACATAGTTCACCTCATCTGAGCTTTAACTTGTGGCAGAAAGAAAGCAGACAGAAAGGAGAGATCTAAGAAATTGTTTCCTCACAGAGATTGGTTTTATAAGCAAACTAAGTATAACTAAGAAGGAGTGAAAAAGAAAGAGGTGGCCTCATTCATGAAAGATAAGTTATTCTTGAGAGTCAATGATAATCTACGGAAGGACTTGGCCTTAAAAAAAAAAAAAAAAAAAACCACCTATTGCTGTCGAGTTGATTCTGGCTGATAGTAACCCTATAGGGCAGGGTAGAACTGCCCCATAGGGTTTCTAAGGGGTGCCTGGAGGATTTGAACTGCCAACCTTTTGGTTAACAGGCATAGCTCTTAACCACTAGGGCACCAGGGTTTCCTTAGAGTGTGGTAAATAGATTTGACCTGTAGCCTTTTGGGAGAGAGTTTTCATTCTAGACATTTGAGGTCCTTTATTATACTAAGAGTGCAGAGCATGTGCATGCTCATCTCTGCTCTTGTGTGTATATATTGGTCCCATGTGCATATATATGTATGCCTCTTGCTATCAGTATTAGCTTTTCCTAAATTATTTCCAGGGATGTGAACTTGTATTCACATACGTAGTTTTCCTTCATTAGAACATTCTTAATACTTTTTTTTTTTTTTTTTTTTAAAGCTAGTGTCTCTCATTTTCTTAATTTATAGCTAACAGGTAAATGGTTCATCTAAATGATTTGTTTTATGTTTATACTTCTTTACAAAACTCATTTCGGTAGATTTTAAGATAACTGTAGGAAGTATACCTTAATTAACAAGATCCTTTACTCACTGTATATCCAATCATAGGTATAAGGTGGTGACTGTGGTCCTAAATGTATGTTTAGTGTATCTAGTTCCATTTGTTTCATGTTAGAAACAGTGTTAAATTATTTTATGACCACAATTTGTAAATAGTGTATAGTTCTGTTAAAAATGACTGTTTCAGTAGCTTTTTGTGTTTACAAAATTCTTTCACATAGATTATCTCATTTAGTTCTCACAATAACCTTGTAAAGTAGCTAGGCTGGCAGGTATTATAGTTCCCATTTTACAGGTGAGGAAAATGAAGTTAAAAGAGATTAAGAGCGGTCACTAGGCTAGCAAATGTTAACAGACCATTCCAAATCCTGTGATTTTACCTTTATCCCACAAAGCTTTTCCCCTCCCATATTTAGAAGGTAGAAGAATATTTATTTACCTAGGAGGAAACTAGTTTCCCATTAGTGTTTTAATGTAATTCTGAAGGTTTAAAGACAAAAAACCTTAAAAAAATTTTTATAACTACAGTTACACAAAGAAGACACCATGTTTTATTTTCCCTCTTAGTTTTGTGTGTAAATTCAAAGAAAAAGCCATTTTAGGAACCATATAAGAAGATTGAAAGTTCTATTTTCAAGGTATAATCTTGTGCCGGCATGAATTAAAAACTCAAATATATATAGTTTTTTCTTGAACATAAGGCAATTTGATTAGCAGAGCCAGCAATAGGTAAAGTTTTGATTGTTATATAAAATTTATCATAGTTTATCTTCATCTCTTATAGAATTTATAAAGGTGATGTACATTGATACTATGTTGCTTGTATCCCAAAATGGTAATATCTACTGTTGGTTCATTCCAATGAAAGCATTTTGGTCACATAGCAGTAGTTACTTGCTTGCCTTTCTGTTCTTGATTTTTTTAACTTCTTTCTGTAAAACATTTATAAATGAATTGCTCCTTAAAACATAGTTAAAATTACTGTGTATATATATATATAGGAAAATAGAAATACGGGAGATAAAATTATTCACTTAAAGCAGATTAAAAATACTAAATTATCCCACGTATTTCTCATTGAAGCAAAGCATATAAGACCAAGAAAGCTTATTATATTTTATGAGCTCCTAATTTTTATGATACTTTCTAAGGAAGAGAAAGATGTGAACGATATGAAGACTTGAAAAAAGTGCCATATTTTTTCGCAAATAATGCACCCATGTAAATAATGTGTGTGCAACACATGTATCTCACATAGTGTGCTTAGGAAAATAACACAAAGGGATTGCACGGTTGGTAAAAAAATATAACATGCGTGTTATTTGCGTAAAAATACGGTAATTGCTTGGGTCGGGGTGGATACTTGCTTTGGATACTTTGAGAAAGGTTCTCAAGAATCACAGTGTCAAGGGTAGGAAAAAGAATCATAGTGCAAACAGATGCCTACTGTTAGATAGATGTATAATAATACTTTACTTTGTGTAGGACCCTACATCTGAGGAATTTCAAGAACATTACACAATAACTCATGGTTCCTTTCAAAATGCTTGTGACACAATTTGCAAGAATTATCCTCATCTTAGGGGATAAATTTACGGAGAAATGACAGCACAAGTTGGTAAGTAACTTGTCAAAACAGCAGGTGACTGGTGAACAACTATAGATTGAATCTGAAAGCTTGAGTCTACCAGTCTCCTACCTTATTCACTAAATTGTGCTTATGTTTAGAATTATTTTTAGTAATATCTTCTATTTGAGGCAGATCAAACACTAATGCACAAATTGTTTCTCTGCCATTTTATTTGATGGCCTCTTGAGACAAACCATTCTTTTACCAAGATGCTTGCGTTGTTATGCCTCTTTCGTACGTCATATTAATCCCGTGTGGTATGAGGAATATTTAAATAAACGAACAAGAACGGACTTTGGTAACACCCAGTCTTTTCTCTTTATTCTGTTATATATCATAATCTGTACCCCTTTGTTCTCCTAACTGCTATGCTGTACTACTATCCAAGATCTGTACTAACTGCCAAGCACAGTTGATTTGGTGACTGTCATTGGAACTTGGATTAGTTATGTTGACTCAAGTCTGCCATGTAACTTTCCGTAGGATGTCTTGGTTTTGTTTATAAAACAGTTAACCCACACAGAAGACGACAATAGCTGTAGATGCCTGATCTGAGCAGTCTGACAAATGAAGTCTTCTTTTAAAGGGTATGGAACCAGTGATTATCTTGTTGTGCTTGGTATGTTAGTGTTTTTACCTGATTGGAAGTGAGCCACGTGCTTTCCTTAAAAGAATGGGAGTATGGTAGATTTAGGTTTCACAACTTGGACAGTTGCTGGGTATTCTTCTGCAGATGGCCACATAGGGGGTCTAGTTTCCATCGTCTCCTTCGTAAGAATTCATAGGGTTTTATGTCCCGATATGTCATACAGATTATTGCCAAAGCTGATTTTCACAAACCCCATGTAATTTTTAAATTACATTGAAGAAATAAAAGTCACTTCACGGATGGTTAGCTTACAACCAGAATGCTGCTTAGAAGCGAGGATGGGGGAGAATTTGTCTCTTGTACTTTGGGCATGTTATCAAGAAGGACCAGTCCCTGGAGAAGGACATCATGCTTGGTAAAGTAGAGGGTCAGCAAAAGAGAGGGAGACCCTCAGTGAGATGGATTGACACAGTGGCTGCAATGATGGGCTCAAGCATAGCAACAATTATAAGGATGGCGCAGGACTGGGCAATGTTTCCTCTGTTGTACATAGGGTCGCTCTGAGTCGGAACCGACTCGATGGCACCTAACAACAACAGGCTATAAGAATATCAGGTACTTGGGATACATAAAGCACACCGAACAGAGGAAATGTATTCAAACATTGGTTGGCTGGGATTGTGTAAGTGGGTAGAAAAGTGGGTAGCATTAATGAAGAAGCTGTATTAAAGAGCTTGTGGTTTATCTCCTTTCAACTTTTCTGGATTTTTTTTTCCATGTTGATGGAATAAGAAGGCTGTAATTATTTTTATATCTTAATGAATTGTGGTAGTTTATGTGCAAGAAAAACCTGTGCTGTGTATATGTATACAAAAATATTGGAGTTATTTTTGTTGAGAGGGAGATTTCTTGAAATTTTATTGGCTCATTCTTTAAACCATAATATTTTATTTACTTCGAATTACCCTTTTGTCTTTCATTCTGGTGTGGCAGGAATTTAGTTTCGGCTCTCTTGACCATAAAGAAAACATTCTAAAATCCTTTACTAATGTGTTTTTCCCCTATTATTTTAAAATATCCAAATTATTTCTTTTGTTAATATTCCATGTTTAGTCTCCTTTTATTACCCATTATTATTCTGAAGTCTGCATATATTCTTAGTTTTTCATAATTGTTTTTTAATTATAAAGTATTAAATGTTTTTGGTAGAGAATTTGGGAAATACAGGAAGATGTAAATCAGCCATAACATACTGTTGTCATGTGAGTCTTTTTCTATGCTCATATGTGTTTCAGATTATAGATTGGAAACACGTTCTTGTATCTCAACTTTTTTCAGGAATAGTTGAATGATGATTGAATATTTTCCCATGTTTTTAAATACTGTTTAAGGACAGTGTTAATGATAATTTAACATTTTATCATTTGGATGTACTAAAATTTATATATATATATTCTCAATTTTTGGAATTTATTTCCAGATTTTTTTGTTATAAGTAATGCTGCTATGAATATATGCATTAATTTAGTTTTCATTTGCATCTCTGGTTGTCTCTTTAGAAAAAAGAAAGTCTAATTTTAGCAAACCTAGGAGGAACGATAATGGAATTTATTTTTAAACAATTTAAGCACAGTTGTACTTTACAAAGTTGGTATGCGCATAAGAAGATATTTGTAGGTCAAAATTTAAAAAAAGGATTCATTTGACAAGCTTTTGAGTCCATATCATTTAAAAATTTAGTAGGGAGAAAATATAGTAGGTAAGATAAAACAAGTGCACAAATAAATAGAAATACATGTAAAACATGCTAAGTATTATAAGATGCATAGAGTGTTGTGTAGAGATGGATACTGTAGCCATTTAGGATGGAGTGAATTGTTGATGAACTTCTGTGAGGGAAATAGCACATAAACTGGAAGGATAGGTAGTATTTCAAGGAGGAAAGAATGAAGAGTGCTTTTTAGGTAAAGCAGCTCAAATAGTGATAGTCAGGTTTGAGGCCTATTAAGGGAATACTAGTCCAGTTAACTGAAAAGTCTGAGAAAAGTGACCAGGAAAGTTAGAAAGATAAAGATTGAGGTCAGATTATAGAATCAAATCAAGGAGCTTGAATTTAATTTGATGAATAACCACTGATAGTTTGTAATGGGAATTATCAGGGGTTCTTAGAAAGGAGGGATTGGAGGGGAGAGAATTTGGAGGTAAATTAGGTTTCGATGGTAATCCTTTAAAACAAGAAAGGAGCAGGTAGATCAAGGAGAGATTAGGGCAGCAGAAAGGATGAACAGGTTTTGGTAACCAAATGGAAGTGAGTAGTAATGGAAAAGGGAGGAACCAGATATAATACTAGGTGGAATCGTTAATTAATAGAAATAGGAAATCTAGGAAGAGGAGGAATGCTAACTCTGTTAGTAGGAGAGCTAAAAGATTGGTGAGGTGAATTTTGTTTTGGACTTAATGACAGTATTCAGTGAGCAGTAAGTAATTTTGTCCTCTATATGGGCAGAAAGATCAGGGCTAAAGGTGTGAAATCCCTGGGTGGTGTAAACAGTTAACACAGTCGGCTGCTCAACAAAAGGTCGGAGGTTCCAGTCCACCCAGAAGTGTCTCGGGAGAATGGCCTGGTGATGTACTTCCAAAAAATCAGTCATTGAAAACCCTATGGAGCAGTTTCAGCTCTGACATACTCAGGGTTTTCATGAGTCAGAATGGACTCCGCAGCAACTGGTTAAAGGCATGAAATGCTTTATTTTCAGTTTTGTTTTATCTTTAGTTCAGAGTAGGCTAGTATTCCAGCTTCAAATTTCTAACCTGTCAGGTAATTAACAACCCAATACGGTTGGCTCTATAGACCTGTCTAATCTTTGGCTACAGGAGGAACCTCAGGAGTGACTTCAGTACTGAGTCAAAAGGTGTCTCGGGGCCATCCTCTCAGGGTTTCTCCAGTCTCTGTCAGACTAGCAAACCTGGTGTTTTTTTTTTTTGTTTGTTTGTTTTTTGTTTTTGTAAATTTGAATTTTGTTCTACATTTTTCTCCTGCTCTGTCCAGGACCCTCTATTGTGATCTTTGCCAGAGCAGTCGGTGATGGTAACTGGGCACCAACTTGTTCTGGGCTCAGTCTGGTGGAAGTTGTGGTAGTTGTTATTAATAGGTTCATTTGCTTATTTTTGTTTAGCTAACGCAAACCTGTTAGTATGTTTGACTTCATGGCTTCCAGTTCTGGTAAGAAACAAAGCTTTTGATGTTCAAAGATGCAATCACTTAGAAGTTGCTTTTGGTTTCAGTAGTTACTGAAATAGTTGTAACTATAAATTGGATACATGCTGGCAGAGTAGGCAAGAGCTCCTGGGAAATTTGTCCTCTGAAATAATTCCCTTGCTTCTGTGAAGGGGTAGTGGAGTGGGGAAGGAGCAGGGTAAGGCTAGAGGTGCTAAGGAGCAGATTTAAGAGTATCTGAAAACAATTGGAAGAAAGTTTAGCTACTTTACCTTTAAGTCATTAGAATAAGTTTGTGATTTTTTAGGATGGCATGACGAGAATAGAGTAGAACTTAGATTGCTTCCCACAATTTATCTCAAGTATTATTTACTGATCATTACATATTTACTTTCTGATTCAGATATTGCTTAGCTATAGATTTTTTAACTAGGCTGTCTAACAGAAATGCACCTCATGAACTGGCACTTTCCCTCTGAAGAATAATTAGGAAAAAGGCTTGACAGACTGATGTTACCAGTGCTTGAACATAGGTTTATTTATACACTCAGTTGGGAAGTTGAGTAAGTTTCTGCAACTGGGAGTTAGAGGGAAAGGGAACACTTAGAAGTTGGTATGGCAGTGTATAATTAGGAGAAAAATATAAACCTCATAATAGGAGAGAAATTTAATAATGAAATATTATTTAAAAATATTTTTATTTAGATACTAGAATGCTGATATTTAAAAATAATAATAGTAACCATCACTATGTACCACGCACTGCACTCAGTCCTTTATACATTATCCAAAAGCCTCATGATTACCCTGCAAAATACATATTAAATCAGTTTTACAGGTGAGAAAATTAAGACTTCAAGAGCTTAAATAACTTGCCCGAAGTCAAAATTAAAAAGTATGAGAAACAAGAACCAATTTGAAGAGTAATGGAAGAAAAGACAGACACCATTTGTAATAATAAGGAAAAAGATCAAACAACCCAGGAACAAACTAATAAGAAATATGCAAGACTTACATGAAGATGTAAAAGCACTGCTGAAGAACACAGAAGGCTTAACAAATTTGTGGATTGAAAAAAAAAATCAGTTGCTTTCAAGTCAGTTCTTACTCATGGTGACCCCCCATGTGTGTCATAGTAAAACTGTGCTCCATAGAGTTTTGAATAGCTTGTTTTTTGGAAGT